ACTCACTGATATTGGAATATCTGGTTTGAAGTGACAGCTCCCATGTTGGCATGTCTTGAAGTGCAGAGACAAGGCGTTTCCTTGCAGTCACACCTTTACTAGACAGTCTGGTAGCCCAAGAGTCACCAACCCCACATTTCAGCAAGCTACAAACGTAAAAAACATGTAAAACATCAAATTCCCATGGAGATTGATGACAAACCTCCTGCTGAGAAAAGCAATGGAAAGTGTGGGAAGTTCTCTAACTCCCAAGTGATTCTTTGCACCACCTCATTCACCATCAGAGAGGCAAGAGCAGAGCTGCTCAATATTTACAAGGGATGGATGCCAGGACACAGGGAATGGCTCCCACTGCCAGGGGACAGGGATGAATGGGATATTGGGAAGGAATTGTTCCCTGGAAGGGTGGGCAGCCCTGGCACAGGGTGCCCAGAGCAGCTGTGGCTGTCCCTGGATCCCTGGAAGTGTCCAAGGCCAGGCTGGATGGGGTTTGGAGCAGCCTGGAATGGTGGAAGGTGTCCCTGCCCATGGCAGGGGTGGAACTCGATGAGCTTTAAGATCCCTCCAACCCAAATCATTCTGGGATTCTCAGGGACTGGAAAGGCAAGGCCTCACCAGGCAAAGCCCAGTCCCACAGAACCCAAAAGGAACAAGCAGGACAGAGCAGGGGGATCCACCAGGCTGAGGCACAGCTCCAGATCCTTGGGCAATATTGGAGTGATGAGGCTGGGCAGAGATCAAGACTGAAAGTCAATTCACAGGTGAAAGTCTGGCTCAGGCAGGACCATAACTAGAAACCAAAACTGCCCTAACATAGCTCAGAGAGGGAGTGAAGGGCCAGAGCTGAGCTTAGATAGAGCTGCTGGAGCCCCAGGTGAGGCCAGGCAGGGCCATGAAGGCTTTTCACTGCCCTCAGGAGCCTGATTCCTGCTCAGAATGCAAACAGTGTCTGTGTTTGGTCAGGCAGCATTTAGATAGCTCTGACAATCCCTTTTTAAACATCAGATATGCATTGGAGATGAATCCTTATGCATGGACACCAAAAGGAGATTAAGCAGCTCCTCAGCAGTCAGGACACAGCTTTCCTGCTTGTCCCTTTGTTTTGCAAGTATGCATTTTTGGAATTCACACTGCAGCGAATCCACTCTGGTGTCATTAACACAAAACCAACTGCATCAGAACATCTTTCCTCTTAATAAATTGCATATCAGGGTAATGAAAGGGCTTCTGGGCATAAAACACATTTGTGAGTGGCATTTTTGGAGGTGGGAGCAGAGCACGTTCAGGTGACAGCTCTCGATCTTTCCCACGTGGAAATTCCTCGGACAAAGGTGCAGCCCCGGAACTGCAGCCTCAGCAGGACAGGGATTACACAACCAGATCTTTTGAATGCAAATGAAGTGCCGGACAGATTGCCTCAGTTCCTTCTGCAGGAAATCTTTTCCATGTGGGATAGAAACAGAGAATTTGGAGATTGTAAAGAGTGAAAAAAATGTTCAGCACGATTTGGGGTTATTCAGTGGTGTTTGGCACCAAAATCTGGAGCTGCTTAGCCTGGTTGTAATTTACTCAACAAGTAAACCTACAAATAATTTCAGTGTTGTGCCTTCATCTGTACTACAGAGACACATGTTAACAGGCAAGGGTTGTTCTAAATAATTATAAGAGTGTAGGTAGAAGGAACTGAGAACAGAGAGGGAATGTGGCTTGTCCAGCATGACAGTGAGAGATCCAAGTGCAGCATCCAAGTAATGGAATCCCCATCAACACTTTATCTAGCAGATCACACTGCTTTGGATCATTGGTAAATAATAAATACCCACTGGAGGCATTTCTGGCTCTTTCACATCTCACAATCTTCCCCTGCACCATTAATGGCTACACTAAGTTGGGATAAAATATATTCTTTGTGTGTTCAAAATGTTTTTCAAGTTTATACATGTTTGAAAATTAACACGATGTTCTGATTTGGACAAAATGCCACTAATAATCAAATCTTGAGACACATTATCCCCTCAGACAAGTCGATGCCAGAGCATTTTGGACTAGAGAAGAGCACCAGAGCAATGCTGTCCTGTGAACAGAGATTTCAGCAGCCAAGAACAGCCTGGCCCAGACCCAGGAAGTGAAAACCTGTACCAGTCAGGAACGCTGCACAACACCTCTCAGTCTCACACTTCATATGAAAAGATTTCTGCAATTATGCTTCTTTGGCAGGTAAAAAGCACAGAAAAGCAACATGTCTTGTGGAGAACCAGCCTCAAGTACATAATAATCCATGATATCATGGAATACCGAGATGGTTTGGGTTGGAGGGGACCTCAAAGCCCATCCAGATCCACCCCTGCCATGTCCAGGGACACCTTCCATGGTCTCAGGCTGCTCCAAGCCCCGTCCAACCTGGCCTTGGGCACTGCCAGGGATCCAGGGGCAGCCACAGCTGCTCTGGGCACCCTGTGCCAGGGCCTGCCCACCCTGCCAGGGGACAATTCCTGCCCAATATCCATCCATCCCTGCCCTCTGTCAGTGGGAGCCATTCCCTGTGTCCTGTCCCTCCATCCCTTGTCCCCAGTCCCTCTCCAGCTCTCCTGGAGCCCCCTCAGGCACTGGGATCACTCCAAAGCTTCTTTTCCAAGCTGAACAATCCAAGTTGTCCCAGCCTGGCTCCCAGCAGAGCTGCTCCATCCCTCTGCTCATCCTGGAGCCTCCTCTGGATTTGCTTCAGCAGCTCCAAGTCTGTGCTGGGCCCCAGGGCTGGAGGCAGCTCTGCAGATGGGGCAGAATCCAAAGAATACAGGGAGAGGAGGCGGCAATTACACTTGGGTAATTAAGGATAATCCAGAAGGCTGTGGATTAACACACAGTGTTCTGTACTGAGGACAGGCAGCCCACCCAGGATACCACACCAGCCACCCCAAAATGCCTCATAAGGTCACCTGCTCTTGCTTTTTGAGAGTTTTTTCCCATGATCCAGAGGGATTTTCAGTGCTTACTGTGGAGGAGTCGGAGTCCAGGGAGGGGAGGTGGTCTTTCACTGCAGCTAGGAAGGATCCCCACTGGAATGTCCTGTTCCCCTGAACAGGAGCTGCAGGAGGCTCAGCTGCATGTTCTGCATCCTCACTTTGTGCTTCTGAGGCCATTAGAACAGCTTCCCTTCAAGCAAAGGAAAGATGAGCTTAAGGACACCTCTCCAAACATGAGATAACATCAGTTCAAAACAAGGACAAAGTGTGTGTGGCCAGAGAGTGTGTGTGGCCAGAGCAGAGGAATTCCCAGCACACCCAGCAGGAAATGTTAAAATCTGCATTTCTGGAGCTATTCCTTTCCACCTGAGTTCAGAAAGGGCTAAGAGCTTTCTGCCCTGCTCACTACAAACACCCCAGGGGCAGTTTAGCCCCTCATTTATAAGGATTTTTTTTGATTCTCAGCCAGAGTGCTGTAACTGTGTCCTCTGCAAGCCTGTTCCCGTGTTCTGCCTGCAGGGATGGGACAGGAACACAACAAAGGCTGACACCTCTGCTCTCAGCTGGATTGACTCCTCTTCCCAATTTCCCTCACATTCCCCTCCTCCCTACTCAAAAGATAGATAAAATGATCACAAAGTCATGGAATCTCATAATGGTTTGGGTTGGAATGGAGCTTAAAGACTCTCTTGTTCTACCAACCTACCATGGGCAGAGAACCTTCCATGTGATTCATGTTTACTTTTGTTTTCACTGGATTTTTATTTTTAAAAACAGTTAAGAATAGGCACATTCATTGATTTTGACCACTCAAAGTGTTCATAAAGTGGACTCTTTCCTCCTGTTCCTGTTCACGAGAAGTTGAGACAGCACAGCAGGAACTGCAGCTGAGCTAAGAGGTCAGATCATTCACCCTCACAGAAAAACTTTACATTTTATGCTACAATCACATGGTGTTCTGGGCAGTCAGACATGACAGCAAATGATTTCTGGTTCAGAGGTTTCACAGAATATCCAGGGTTGGAAGAGACCCACAAGGACCATGGCAGGTTGGTGACTGTGAGTAACTGACACTGTTATCTGCATTGGCCACGAACACGCCTCAAAACGTGAAGTTAAACTCAACTATCCCCCTGGGAAGTTTATAACTTTCAAATTGCTTCTGTAGATACTTCATAGGCCTCATCTATGGTGGTTCTGTTAGTGTGAGACAATGCCTGAATTTCACTTAGATAACAAACAGGGAAATCCTCCTGGCTGGAGCACTGTGCTCTGACACTGAGCAGAGCTTGCCAAGGGTCAGAGGAGCCCCATGGGGATAAAACAAACTGCCTAGTGTGGCTCCCTGTGCCAAATTCTGAGATAAATATCCCAAGGTTATAGATGGACACTGGATCTGACTTGTCAGTCAGCTAATGCAGCATCTTCTGTAGGAGCAAACAGTGCTATGTGTCCAAAACAAACTCTTAGCAGTAGCACAACAGGCATTTTCTGTAGAGCTTGGGCACGGTAGGTCGAAGGTTAGACTTGATGATCTTGGAGGTCTTTTCCAGCCTTAACGACTCCATGACTCTGAGACTTGAAACCCTGAGCTTCTCCTTGTCCCCAGAACTGACGTTTGCCGGGAAGGAGAAGCGGTGAGGACAGCAGCAATGGTGGGAGGCAGAGCTTGGCTCCGGGGCTGAGCCCCCACAGGGACGGGGCTCGCCTGAGGGACCCCGCTCACAGCCCCGCAATGGCGGCGCACGCCCACCGTCCCCATGGCAACGCGGCTCCCGGCCCCGCCCCGCTCCCCTGCCCTCACTCACGGCGCCCACAGCCCCGCTCAGCGCCGGGCGGGCCGGGCCGCGGGCACAGCGAAGCGGCGGCACCGGGACGAGCGCAGGGCCGGGACGAGCGCAGGGCCGGGACAGCCGCGGGGCCGCTGCTCGGGGCCGCTCCGTGCGACCGCCACCAGCCCCAACGCCATTGGCTGCCCCGCGCCCCGCCCCTCGCACGGGCTCCTCCCATTGGCCCGGCGCCGCGGGGGCTCTTGGGTGTTGTAGTTCGCCGCCCGTGAGGGCGGGGCGCTCCCGGCATGCCTTGCGCTTGGGGACTGGTTCCGGCGGCGGCGCTCACCGGGCGCAGGTGAGGGAGCGGCGGGGCTGGGGCGGGACAGCGGCGGGACAGCGGCGGCACTCACCCCCGGGACCGGCCCCGGGCACTCCCGTCCTCCGTGTACCCGTGGCCGCGCTGCTTCCTTCCTGCTCGGTGTACTCTGCGATGCTGAGGCCGCGTTGCTAGCAGGGCCGCGAGGGAGGCAGGTGCGGGGATAACGACCCCGCAGCCGTTTGCTGTGAAATGTTCGGTAACAGCCGTGTGGCGGCCGCTCTGGCAGCCGCTGGGCTCGCCTCAGGTGCGTGGTTGTGTGAGCGGAGCGTGCCCGGGCCGAGCCCTGGGCGGGCACAGCCCCTGCAGGGGAAGTGTGCTCCCTGATGTGGCTGCTCAGGGCTTTTGTGCCTCTTGCCTCGCTTTTCTGAGGTTGTTTGATGGGTTTGAATGTGCCCGAGAGTGACAGGCTCGTGGTAGAATCACTCAGCTTGGAAAGGACCTTTAAGGTGATTGAGTCCAAGCGTTAAAAGATGAAACGCTTGGTGTGTTTTGTGTATTTTCAACAGATGTGGGTAGGATTGAGCTCGAGTGTTGTGGATCCAGGAATGTTTTCTCTCACCCACCTCAGGAACCTGGTGTGGTTCCAGCAGCTGTGAATTGTGCTAGCTGCGTCAATCAGTGATGGTACACTGCAAAAATGAGATGTTCTGGTTCCTGTTGTGGCTGACCTGTTGACAATTGCACCTAAAAAAGGATGTAATGAGGCCTACAGGGAGGGAAAAGCAATTCCCATGGGATTGCCTGGAACAAGCTGCCCAGAGAGGCTGTGGGTCTCCTTCCCTGGAGATATTCCGAGCCCACCTGGACACAGCCCTATGTAACATGCTCAGAGGACCCTGCTTGAGAGGGAGGGACACCCAGTGGTCCCTTGCAACCTGAGCTACTCTGGGGTTCTGTGCTGGGGGCTGGATTCTGTGTCCTGGAGCTGCAGCTGAAGCCCTCAGCTGCTGGATACAGCTGTGCTGAGCTCTTCATGGAGTGAAGAACACTCCTGTGAGAGTTTCAAATGATTAGTCTGCAGTTGCTCCCCAGGGCTGGGACTGGGATAAACCTTTCAGGCAGTCCTGGAGCTGGAGGAGCTGTGTAATTAAGTTGTGTCTGCAGGAGGGGGGGTGTGCTTGGATAATGGATGGGTAGGTGCACTGCTGCCCCCAGTGTTTCAGCATTTTCCAGGATTTACTGAGATGAGGCTGGGCTGCCTCTGAAGGGCTGAAACAATAAATGGTAGAAACAATCTGCTTACAACCTGATGACAGTGGAGGGTGCACCCTCTTCAGGTGACAGAGTGTTTTTGGGAGCAGTGGGCAGTTGTCATTATTAATGACTGTGTCTTAATTTAATCAGGACTATCCTGTAATGCAAGACAGATGGACAAGACCAGGAATGTCTGACACATGAATTCTTAATTCTCTCCCTGCATTATAAAACATGCAGAGCAAGAATTACATCCTTTTGTAAAACGCTAAGCCTACCTTCAGCTCTTAAAAAGATGTTTAGTCTTTTTCTTGCCGACCTTATTCAAAGCTACCTTAGGCATATTTGGATTAGGCAGGGAGGAAATAAAGCCACTGCTTCTGCAGTCTTAAAATGAGATTTGAAAGATGTGGGGTTTAGCATTATTGCCTTTTATTTTTCCAGTGTATTGGAATCCCAGAGTTCTCTACAGCAAGAGAAAACTTCCAGCAAAGTCTTTTCAGCAGCAGTTATTTTTTCGGGCTGAGGAGTCAATCAAAGTTGAGGTAAGAATTTGAAACCCCACACATCTGAGCTGGGCTCACCTTCCAAGCCAATGGCAGCTTGGAGCTGTAATTGTATGGAAAATGGGGATCATCAGCTGAGTGCTGTGCTCTGGTTTGGCTCCTCAGGGCAGGATGTCGGAGCTGAGCGACGAGGCCAGCGAGTCGGAGCTGCTGAGCCGCAGCCTCTCCATGTGGCACGGGGTGGGGCCCGTGCTGTGCCGGGAGGAGCTGGACGTGCCCCTGGACCTGCACACCGCCTCTTCTGTCGGGCAGTACCAAGTGGTGCAGGAGTGCATCCAGCGGTGAGAGGGGCTGGGTGCCACCTGCTGCAGGCGTGGCTGTCACCAGTGCCACACCGGGGCAGGAGGGACACGTCACTGGGACTCCCAAAGGGTTCTTGGCACAAAGCTTCCAGGAGCAAATCTGATAAAAATGACCTCTTTAGTGTTTTAGTAGGAGGTGTGTCCCCGCCATGGCAGGGGGGGTAGAATAAGGTGGCCTTTAAGGTCCCTTCTTTCCTAAAGCATTTTGTGATTCTGCGATCTGGGGCAGGTTGTGCTGGAGCTGGTAGAAATTCCCATGTAGGCTTCAGTGCTAGATGACAGCAAGAGTCTGCAGAAGCCAGCTGTGGTCCACAGCTCCAGCACAGTAGTTCACGTGACTTCTTTCTTCTGTCTCTTAGTGGAGACCTGGATTTGAACCAGAGGAACTGTGGGGGCTGGACCCCACTCATGTACGCTTCCTACATTGGCCATGACAACATCGTGCACCTGCTGCTGGAAGCAGGAGTGAACGTGAACATCCCCACCCCAGAAGGCCAGACTCCCCTCATGCTGGCCTCCAGCTGTGGCAATGAGAGTGTTGCTTACTTCCTTCTACAGGTGTGTATCCCATAAAACACAGGTAAAGCCACGGCACGTGGTTTAAATGCTCAGGGTGGGATAATCCACAAGCTGCCACTTTGTGTTCTGTTGTGAGGTCTGCTTTGTGGTGGGATTTAATTTAAACTCTTCGTGTCCCAGCATAAAGAGGCAGTGTCTGAAAGCCTGAGCAGAGCAGATGCAGTAAGGAATATTGTCTGTTCTCTTGCAGCAAGGGGCAGAGCTGGAGATGAAGGACATCCATGGCTGGACTGCCTTGTTCCACTGCACCAGTGCCGGGCACCAGCAGATGGTCAAGTTCTTACTGGAGAATGGGGCAAATGCCAACTGCAAGTAAGGAGGAATCTGTAATTTTATTGTCATTTTGTTGTTATTTATCATTCAGTATGAAGGCAAATGGTGGCAGATGAACACACTCCAACAAATAGCTGCTTTTGTCTTCTCCTTGTACCTCAGGATGTGGCACTGATAATACAGGGACAGTTGAGCTGCAAACTGAATTGAAGTCTGCCCATGCTATCACTGTTTATTAAGCTAAGATCAAGGGAAATTAAGTTTACTGCTTGTTTAATTATCATCTAAACACTGACACCTTCTGAACTCAAGTGCACTTCATAAGTCTTTTTATTGATTTTTTTATATACTCAGAGTTCAGGTTGGTTTTTGAAGTGTGCCCTGCATTCCCATGCCTTAGGGACCACCACACATTTATGCACATGGAATTGCATGAGGGCAACAAGAGGTTCTTATTTTATTAGCTCCTGCAAAACTGATTTGGGCTCTTAAAGGCAGATCTGCAGCTAGAAGAGTAATCTGTTGCTGTGCAGCTAGTTTAGGAACACCGAATCTCTACAGGGAATTAATTCTACAACAGGACAGCCAGTACATCACAGTCTGTGATCAACAAAGGTTGAGGGGTGGAAATGCTCTGTTAGGAAATGGCAAAACTTCAGCTGTGGTTATAGCAGTCCACGTGTGTGTTTTCTCCCCAGGGAGCCAGTGTATGGATACACACCTCTGATGGAAGCAGCTGCTTCTGGCCATGAGATAATTGTTCAGTACCTTCTCAATCATGTAAGTGTCCTGGCAGTTCTCTGTTTAGCTGAAAGTCTGGTTCCAGCCCTCAGAGGAACTAGCACAAATTTGACACCATGCTTTTTTTGACAGTGTTATGTTTGCTCCTTGATGACAGTCACCTCTGAAGTCCCAGACTTTCAGGGCTGTTTTCAAAGTATCTGCTTTCTGCAGGGTGTTACCATGATTTTACTCTGGCCTTGCAGGAATAGAAGTGAGGTCTGACTGTCCAGATACAACTGAATTAGAAAACAACCGAAGCTGTAATTTTTGTATTGTGTTTACAGGCTTGCATGCTCAGGCTACTGGACATCTGCATCCAAAAGCTCATGAGCATGCAGGGCTCTTACACAGTTTGGTTTAAATCCCATTTGACTGGTCCAGCTTACTGCCAGAAGGAGGCAGCAATGCAAAACACTTCAGATCAAACAAACCTGTTCCCAGTGGCAGAGCCCTGGGCTATTTGGCATTCAGGAATTGGAGAGACTGGGGATAACTAGAAAGGCATTCAGGGTATTAATGCAGCTTGAACTGTCTGTCAAAGATGAGCCTGTATTGCTGATGGAGGAGCTAAGACATTTTTTGGGTTTTTTAAAATATACATATATATTTTTTACACTGCTCTCTGATGTGTGCCCTTAACCAGGTATTTTTCTGCAGGGAGTGAAGGCAGATGTCAGAGACAACACTGGAGCCACAGCACGGACCCTGGCCATGAAGTATGGCCACACCAAGATTGTGGGGCTGATAGATTTGCATGCAGCCCCAGTGCCCAAGGTCTTCTGCAGAGGTCCAGGTAACAGATGTTTGACCTTCTTCATTTTAAGACGGAACCTGAAGTGAGGTGTTTGATAGTTTGAAAGTATGTTATACTGTGTAGATGGGTAGTGCTACCTGGTCTGTCCTGGAAATTCCAGCATTTCTGAGGATGGAAGAGGCACGAATCCAACAACTCTTGTCTGCTGGCCCCTTTCTGACCTAGGTTAGCTGTTTCACCTTACTCTTCAACATTTCTCTTTTTCTTTCCACTGCACTTATAGGACCAGTAGCAAGTAAAACAGGCAAATGATTTCCTGTGCTGCTAATGACCTGTGTTTGAACTACAGGCAACTATGAGGAGCTGAGTTCTTCAGATGAATCATATTCTGCTCCCCAGAGACAGAGACCTGCTCGTAGGACCAAGGGTCCCAGCATCCATGAGGGGCCCCAGGCCTTGGCCAAGATCACAGCAATTGGCATGGGGAGATGGAAGCAGTCTTGCTATGGTGAGGAGAGTTGGGAGCCTGAGGGACAGTCCCCTGAGACCTCAACAGATCTGCAGCTGTTCCTGCTATCTGTTGTTAATTTGTTGGGATTCATGTGTGGTTTGTACAGAACAAAGATAGCTTTGTATGAAGGTGTTCACTATCCAGTGTCTGGGTTAGAAAGAAACCTCCCTGAACTCTTTTGTCAAGGCTGGATATTGATAAGTGGGATGCTTTTCTATCCTGACCTCAACTACTGTTCTCGTGACTCTGGAGAACAGTTCAGTTTCCCTTTTTAGGCAGGCTCAAAAGTTTGAGATTCCTTCTGAAGCTAATGGCAGGGAGGTGCTCACACCGGCCAAGAAATCATTGATCATAAGAGTGAACTTGTGAGTTTTGCCTTCCCTGATGCTTGAAATGCTTCTAAAAATGAAATTGCAAAACCTTTGCAATAAGCCAAGAGAAAAATGATCCCAGTTAGACATCCTGGATGCAGTGCTCGGAGGTTTGTTTCACTGTCTGTCATAGGTATTTCACAGACTGGTTGCCTGGAATAACCAGGATTATGGACTCGAAAGCATGTTCAAAACTCAGTTCATTCTCTTAAACACGAGTCTGTGTTATCCCCCAGGCTGTATTGGGATGATGCTGTCAGCTTCTTAAATGCCAGTGGGATTCTTCTGGTGCTTTAGCACAGCTGCAAGGGGGAGGTGTTCTGCAGGGTGTGCAGGGCTACTCTCCTAAGCTGTTTCTCCCCCTTCATAATTTGAGTATAAGGAGAGGGAGTGCTGGAAGCTGCTGTTTAAGGTACATCTCTGCTATAAAGTGTTTTCTCTGATTTTCAATGTAAGCATGTAAATGAAGTACATGTGCTGTGGAGTCATGTGAGGGAACTGCAGGAACCTGCATTTCTCAGGTGATCTCTGTGCTTTTTAGAATGGAACTTGTCAGTTGCGAGCAGAGTCTCTCATTTTGGTTGTTTTCAGACCCAGAAGTAGTAACATTTTCTGCAGGAGCCTCCCTGATTAACTTGCATCCTAATCTCTGTTCTCCACACAGAGCAGGTGCCCCCTCAGGGCTATGTCACCTTCAATGATGCCAGCTGTGCATCAGGTGTCATCCGGAACAGGGACGTCACCTCCCCAATCAACGAGCTGGACGTGGACAGCAGCAGCAGCAGGGGTAAGTCACTGCCTCAGAAATGGTCCAGCCTGCAGTGCTCACTTGGGTGTGAGTCCAGCCTTGGCTTCCTTTCTCACTAAGATGCTTTCTTAGGGAAAGCTGGGATGGTTTAGCTATAGAAGATAAAGCTCAGTGTGGTCATTTCACCAGTTTGTACAAATAGTCTGAAGGAGGGTGGGAACAAGACAGAAATGGGTGTTTCCAGAAGTGTCTCTGGTGGTAAACAGAATTGGGGAAAGATGAGTGCTGGGGATCAGATGTGAAATCTCTGCCTCAGGGTCATCTTGTATCCTGACCGCTACACATGAAGCCGTGCTCTGGATCTTGCCTTCCTTTACACCTCCAGGAGGTTTTGCTGGTAATGGTGTAATAAAACCAAAATGTAATGAAGTTGTACGTCAATTATTTTTTTCCTATTCCTTTCCAGAGGATAGTGCTTTGTCCAGCAACAGCCTGGGAACCATCAGGAGCAGCAGCAGCAGCAGTGAATGCCTAATTAGAATCCCGGGAGTCAGCAGTGAAGGCTCCTTGGAAAGCAATGAGGTGGATTTTCTTTTCTCTGCCTTCAGCTTGTGCAGTGCTTTCACCCTTGGGAGACTCGGCTCCCATGGGAACCTGTAGGACCAGGCTGGGTGAGGAAAGGCTCTTCCAGGGACAGGCAGATCAAGGAAGGGGAAGAGGTTGGAGGCTACTCACAGCTCACATGGGTCAAGGCAGCTCTGGGGCTGCAGAACAAAGGGCCTTTAGGTTTTAGAGGAGCCTGCACTTGTTAGGCCCCCAATCCTGACATCTCTGCACAATCATCCTTTCCATTCTGTGCGTGGTTTTTTCTTTTCCAGGACTCTGATCACACCAACAGCCCCCCGAGTCGGAAACAAGCCAAGAGCTTTAAGGGCAAGACCCGCTACAGCAACAGTGACAGCCAGTGGAGCCACTGCCTGGGGAAGACCGGGGGCTGCTGCCAGCACCTGGTCCTTCCTGAGCCCCCGGCCTACACAGGGCCCCAGGTAACCACAGATTTGTCCTGCAGGCTCTGTCACTGTACCAGGTGTGGGAGGCTTTACCCAGGTTACCAAAACACCTTGTATTCCAAACTTAAATGTTTGTGAAACAGCAATTTCTTGTAGAGGAGCTGTTCGCTGAGATGTTGCTGTTGCTTGGAGGGGTTTCCTAGACCCTTCAGGCCTGTGAGTGGACTATCAAACCTGGCAGTGGAGTGGGCTGAGGTAGCTGATTCTGTGTCATTCTGCTCTGCACTTGTTAGAAGAGGCATGGCTGCAGTAGAGACCAGTCCTGGTGTGTGACTGTGGAGAAGGGCAGGGAGCCACCATGGGAAGTTGTGGTTGCTGCTGGAACCAGAAAGTTGTTACAACAGCATGAGGAAGCAAATATTTATGATTAGGGTGATGCTTTTGTTGAGAGGGTGTAAATAAGTTTGTTGTGTCTGGGCTGCAGGACCTGGCAACATTCCTTGAGGAGATTGGGTGCCTGAAGTACCTGCAGGTGTTTGAGGAGCAAGATGTGGACCTCCGGATCTTCCTGACCCTGACAGAAAGTGACCTGAAGGAAATAGGCATCACGTGAGTGTCTGTCCTGTCTGTCCCAGCTTCCCCCTACAAACCAAGTCCAGCCTGGTCAGGAAGGTTTAGCTGGGGAGTGCTGCTCTCTTCTGGCTGCCTCCCACACAATTAGACATCCCCATGTCCTCGGCTGTAACACGCTCCTGCTTCTGGAGGTACCTTGGAGAGACCAGGACACTGCAGAGGTCCTCGTGGCATCCTGTTGGGCTCAGGGCTGGGTGGTGCAGGGCTTGACCCGTGTTGGTTCCATCCCCCCAGGCTGTTTGGCCCCAAGAGGAAGATGACCTCGGCCATTGCGCGCTGGCACAGCAGTGCCCGCCCGCCCAGCGACGCGCTGGAGTTGGCCTACGCTGATCGACTGGAGGCAGAGATGCAGGAATTGGCCATCCAGCTGCACAAGGTGAGGCTGCTGCCAGCTCCTCAGGGCCCTGCACCCTGCAGGAGGTGATCAGTGCTGTGTTTTTGTTGTGCCTCGGATGGTTTTTCCTTCACCTCAAGCCACAGCTTATAGTGGATGTACTTGGTGTACAAACAGCACAAGTACAACTTACCCACTCCTCATCCTTGGTGCTCCTTTGTGTCTGTTTCCCATCCAGCTGAGAACTATAGGAGCCAAGGGCAAGAATCAAATCCCTACTCCTTCCCAGGAGTGTCATGTTTATGGTGAAGTAATGCAGCCACCAGTGAACAAACTTGTTTTGGGGAATTTGGACTCATAAGTAACTTTGTAAACAGAGAGGAAGGGGAATTGTAACTGGGGCTGGGCTTATTGTGGAGAGAACCTGTACTCAGTGTACAAGCTTCATCCAGCTTCCTTTCCCACTGGAAAGGAACATTCTGGATGCTTAAGGCATTAAAATAGCAGGGACTTGAGAGATGTTCAGTGCTCCCAGCCTGATCCCCAGTGTGTTCTGCTGCAGAGGTGTGAAGAGGTGCAGGTGATGAAGGGCCAGGTGTGCCAGGAGCAGAAGCTGCGTGCAGTGGCCGAGAGCTGTTTGATGGAGCGGGATGAGACCTGGAATGCCATCCAGTGCCAGCTCAGAGAGGCTCAGGCCATCACCAAGGATGCTGGAGTCCTGCTGGATCAGATCAAGTAAGTCATCCCCAGGAAGTGACACTGAGACTGCTGGGAAATGGGATCTGGCGTTATATTGGCAGCTTTACAGGTGATGCTCAGGGTAAGGCAGGAGAGCTCACCTGGCACATGAACACATCTGGATCCTGCCTGCCTTTCCCTAGTGAAAAGCCACAGCCATGGGAGCACATGTGAAGTTTTGATCAGATGCATGAGCTGGAAGTGGCCTTTTTGGGGGTGCTGGGTGTTCCTGTTTCAACTAGAAGTAACAAAAAGGCTGAGGCTGTGCCTACGCAGGGTAATACTTGGTGATCGGGACCTTTTTGAATACAAAAAGGAGTTTTTAACCCATGCCCTGCTAAAGGATGTGCAATAACTCACAAGTGAATAATATTTTTCTTTTGCAACTCTGTGACAGCTGGCAGAATAATCTGAATAACCTCCTGACACTCCTTTTACTGCCTTTGCGGTGTTTTTCTCTGTGCCACAGTTGGACTCCTGTCATGGGCCTTGTTCTGTCCAGTGATACAATAGGGAGATCCCTGAAAGTGGCATAAATCCTGCTGCTTATGGATCCTAGCCCAAGGGAGTGGGGTCTGCTGGCTGCCAAGCCAGGGAGAGCTGAAGTTGGCTCCAGAAGCTTAGCAGAGCAATATTGCCACTGCAAGGGGCAGAGCCTGTCTTTTCCCCCTTACTGAGGAGCTGAGGCTGCTGTAGAAGGGCCCTGCCATGCTCTGAATGTACACTGCTTGAATTGGTGGGATGGTGATGACAGCCTGAGAACCTAGGTGCCCCTCATGCCTGTCCCGAGGTCGTTCCCTTTGCCCATTAGAAACCTTGGATTGGGCCTGATTCTCCCACAGACCAACACAGCCCCTGGCTTGGGCTTCCTGCTGCTCACCCCAGCCCTTCCTTATCTTGTCCCCCCACAGCTCCTCTGTGCACGGGGCAGAGCTGGCTGTGGCTGCAGATGGGGAGCATTGGCTGGGAGCTGAGCAGTGCCAGCACCCCAGGCTTGGGCTGAGGCACCACTTCCTCCTCCCGGGAAGCAGCAAGGAGCAGGTTGTACCCCAGGGCCTTAGAGGCGCTGCCCGGGCACCCCACGCAGGTACTGCAGGCTGTAGGAGTGTGCAGTGTCACTGCCAGCGCATCCCTGGGTCCTGCTGATGGCTCTGGTGTGGTTTGGCAGGAGCTGCCAGGCAGAGCTGTCATCCCGGCTGGCCCCGGAGCAGGCGGGCGATGGAGCGCCGGACACGCGGGAGCAGCGCGGCACCGGGGAGAGCCGGCGGCCCGGGGAGCGCCCAGGTGAGCACCAGCAGAGTCCTGGGCAAAGCCCTGCTTGGCTTCCCTTGCTGAAAGTCAGACACGTGGGAATGGATGGGCAGCCAGACTCTTAGTGAGTTGAATTCCTGCTCAGGAGAAGCATTAAAAGCTCTCAGGGCATTTGGAGTGGAACTTGCAGAGTTTCTCAGTTAAGTTTTGGGGTCTGGCAGGCATGTCTGGCTAAAAATGCAGAGCTGTAGCACAGGCCCCAGTGACAGCTCTACTTCAGGGACCTGTGCCTGCAACTTGGGTTTGTTACCACCCTGTAAACTGGAGCAGGGCCTGAAGCAGAGGGTTGGCTGGTTCCCTAACCCAGTTTGGGGATTTTGCTGTTGGATCCATGGGACAAACCTCTGGCTGAGCAGGCCTGACCCAGCTGCTCCTTATCCCTAGGAGCTGGTCAATGATCCAGTGCTCAAGGCCAGATTGATGGGAACTTGGAGCAACCTGGTCTAGTGAAAGATGTCCTTATCCATGGCAGGGGATGGGCTTTAAGGTCCCTTCCAACCTAAACCATTCAATGATTCTGAGACTCTCTGATCTTGCTGCCTCTGATATGCTCCTAGTGACCTGTTCTTTGCTGCCTGTGTCTTAGAAGTGACACAAGCAGAAATCCTGTTGATTTCTGTCCACTACACTTAATCCCTTTGAGATTCTCTCAATAAACAACGCAGCCAGTCTAAAAATGTAAATTCTGAAGTGGTAGAATTGCCAGAAAACTCCTCAGTTTGGCACAGGCAGCTCTCTTCCTGTGTAATTCAGAAGCCCTAACTGGAATCCCTTTGGCTGGGGATGCTTCCCAGCAACACCAGCCCCTTATGTGCTCTGTCCCAGAGAGATGGATTAACTGTGTCCCTGTCTTTGCAGTTCTGGAAGGGTGGCCACCTTCCCTGAAGTCCCTGAGCTTGCCTGAGCTGTCAGCTGTGCTGGAAGAGTGTGTGGGAGAGATGGGTAAGGTGGGAAGGACTCTTGTGCTGGGGGAGGCATGGCTGGGTGGGGTTTGGTGGTTTGGAGTGGTTGTTGGGAGAGACCCCACAATCCCTGCTCACTCAGGGAAGTCTCCAGGCTCTGGAGTTGGTGCTGCTCTTGCTGCAGATCTTGGGCTCTGCATCATCCCCTAGTGACAGGTCCAGGCTGAGAGGTGGGGGGTGGTCCCTGCATCTCCTGCTCAGTGATGAGAGTTGCTGGGGAAGTGGTTCCCTAATACTGTGTCCTGGTGACAGGAAATTGTCCCAGCAACTTGCAGACAGAAGAGACACCCCTGTTCTCAGAGCAGGGAAGGCAGCACAGCAGTGGCTGAGTGCAGCCTGTTCTTTCCTGCTTCCTGGCCTCTTCCTAATGCTGCTTTTTCCCTTTGGTTTGTCCTCAGGAAAAGCTCTGCAGACTGTGACTCAAAACCTCCAAAAGCTCCAAGCCCTGGGGCAGAGCGGGCAGAGCTGGCCAAAGCCATAACCAAGCCAGGAGGGTGAGTGGGAACAACCACCCTGCCCATCCCAGGCTGTGGCACTGAGGGGACACCAGAGCTCACTCAGAGCCCACACACCAGGGCTGGGCTCTCCCTCATCCTTGTGTGCCCTCTGCTTGGTTCTCCCTTTGGAGAATCTGTAGCCCCTTTGTCCCAGCAGAGGGTGACTGTCCCCTTTCTCCTGGTGGCTGCAGGAATACTGACGTCGGGTGACTGTTCCACCCGGAAGCTGAGTGTACCTGGGAAAGGGAGCACGGGGCTGTGCCGGCAGCACCACGGCTCTGCCGACGGCCACTGCAGCTGGCAGGGCACCGAGGAGGCTGTGGCCACCAGAGAACACAGCTGGGAGCATGAGGGACAGCAGAGGACAACAACCAGCTGCTCTTTGGGCCTGACTCAAGGCTCCCAGGATCTTTATTTGAAAGGTTTAGGTTTGGAGGAGAAGCTCCAAGCCTAGAAGTTTTGTCTGCCTTAAGCTTCCTGCAGCCCTTGTTGTTCAGGTCTGAGTGGTGGTAGAAAGGTGACAGTTGCACAAAGCAATCAATTCATTATACTTTTCTGCATCCCAAGCTCCCTACAGCCTCTGAAACGTGTCCCTGGCTCCTCCTGTGCCATGGGGATTGGCCCAGAGAATGGATCTGAGGCCATAAAAAAGGTAGTTTGTTGTGGAGGGTTGAAAGGAGTGGAGTTTGTGATGTTTGGCTCTTGGAGCTGCAGTGGAGCTCAAACTGCAGCCCTGTTCCTAGTTGGAATGTCTGCTCTACTGCCACCCCAGATCTGTGCTTCAAAGCCTGTTCCTCCAACCAGCCCACTCTGGTTCACTTTGGGTTCTTGCTGTCCTCAGGAGCTGGGTGTGATCACGTTGGTGGTTTAGGAATGGCATTCACTGAAACACTCCCAACTCACCCACTCCCCCTCCTCACCTCCTCTCCCCTGGGGTGGGATGGAGAGGAGAACTGGAGGCACAAAAGGAGAAGATCACTGGTAGAAATAAAAGCATTTTATGGGAAACAGCAGCAAGATAAGGAACAGCTACAGCAACAACAGTAATAACAGCTGTGTACTGGAGAAGTCCTGGGCCTGCAGAAATGAGCCCTGCCCTGGCCAGAACCAGGACATCACTGTTACTCCATCCCCAAGAACTTGGCTTTGTGGTCAGTGCTCTAGGGAGAGGTCATTGGCCTGGTTTGCCAGGGCCAAGATCCCAGCAAGGCAGGGATCCCCTGGAAGGACCGGGAGAGAGAAGGAAGAGCTGGGACTGTTGAGCTTCCCATGCCTCTGGCAAGCGGGGGAGTGCCAAGGCAGCAGAGCAGGAAGAGGAATAGCTCTGTGCCCCCATGGGATGTGGGCAAAGGAACCACAGCCCAGAGAGAGCTATGGCTTTACCTCACCACTGCCTGCCTTTGATGTGCAGGCTTTAGTGCTGGGGAAGAGTTCTGCCAGGGCATTTGTGGTGGGCATTGCCAAGGACAGGCAGTGCAGGAAGAGGCTGCCCTATCCCTGGGAGTGGGTGAGGGTGCCAGGGACCTTGGTGTAGTGTGCTTTCCAGTGACTGTTCCCATTTACTCCTGAATCCTGTAAGGGGGAAAAACACAACAATCAAAATCTGAAGTGATTTTCCAAAATATGAAGTGAGTGATGATGTTGATGAATCATGGTAAGTCCCTTTGGGAAGAGGATGGAACTGTGTGTTCCTTCTGGTATTTGGACTTTGGGCACAGATCCCAAATATAAAAACCCATCCAGCTCCATCTTTTCAGCTGGTCAGCCCTTCTGAGTCCCTTCAGGCAGGGGTGCAACTGGTCTGCCTGCACTGCCAGGCAGGTATGGCCCTCTCAGCTGTGCCTGGCAGTGTCCCCCCCTCTGGGTGCTGCCTCCTGCCCATGCTTACCTCCCACCCTCAGCACAGGGCACTCTTTTTTCATCTTGAGCAATGCCATGGAGCATGTGGGCACCCAGTGCCAGCTGCAGGGTGAGGCTGCAGGAGTTTCACCCTGAAGAGTTTGGATGAGGCAGAGGGAATTCTCCTTGGGCAGCACTCCTGGAAACTCCTCAGAGGGCTGAGGCTGTGCTGGGGCGCAGAGTTTTGAAGGCTTTGTCCCTCATTCCCTGTCACTGGGGAGTCCCAAGGTCTCTCCCTAGCCTTGGTGGTGCCTCTGGCTGCAGTAATATGGGGTTGTTAATGCTGTTTCCCTTGAAGTTAAGGCAAACCCCCCAAAAAACTCCTAAGGGCAAAGCTCTGGCTCAGCAGTGCCCTCAGAACGGGGGCTGTGCAGAATAGTGGCTGGAAGGTGATTACAGGGATTTGGGGCTTGCTTTGCTAAGTCTGAGGCTGGAATCAAGGGGGTTTGGGGGATTAATCCAATCCCAATTAATCCCAGGATCTATCCAATACATCAGAATACCTGGGAAAAGGGGGGAGAGGTGGCAGTGTGTGTGTGAAGGAAAAAAGCCCCAAAGAGGGGCTGCAGGTGTAAAGGCTTCAAGGGTGTGAGAGCACCCAAGGGCCCAGCAGGGAGGGAATTCCTTAACTGCAGGCTGTGAAGCAGCATTCCTTGCAGCTAGGGTGGCTGTGCAGGCAGCAGGAGTCTGGTGCTACCCTAAGGTGAGCTGTCTGAGAAAAATAGCATTTGCTGATTTGGATGAATGAATAAAAACTGAGAAGCCTGTGTGTGCTGTGTGGGTATCTCTGGAGGGAGCTGGGGCATCGTGAATAAGTTCCCTATTTATTATTGCAGGAATGCAAACAGGGTTTTCCAGCCCACTCTGCCAGGAGGCTGCAGGCTCAGGGGCTTGGGACTGCCTGGGTGGGTGATGTGGGAATGCAGTGGGAGCTGCTGGAGCCAGGCTCAGAGAACTGGCTGCTCTGTTCACTGGAGAGGAGAAGCTCCAGGGAGAGCTCAGAGCCCCTTCCAGGGCCCAAAGGGGCTCCAGGAGAGCTGCAGAGGGACTGGGGACAAGGGATGGAGGGACAGGACACAGGGAATGGCTCCCACTGCCAGAGGGCAGGGATGGATGGGAGATTGGGAAGGAATTGTTCCCTGTGAGGGTGGGCAGCCCTGGCACAGGGTGCCCAGAGCAGCTGTGGCTGCCCCTGGATCCCTGGCAGTGCCCAAGGCCAGGCTGGATGGGGCTTGGAGCAGCCTGGGACAGTGGAAGGTGTCCCTGGATATGGCAGGGGTGGGATGAAATGGGCTTTAAGTTTCTTTTCCCTCCCAGTCCAGTCCAGCCCTTTCCCTCCCCTGGAGCAGACAGAAGCAGCAGGCTCTGCTTGTTGAAAAATAAATATTTATTTACATCTGAAAAGAGAGTTAATGTGTAAATTGGTCTCGTGGGGGTTCCATCGATCCAAGATCTGTGACTCCAGCCTGGTGCAGCTCCTCCCTGAGGCACTGGGAAAGGCTCCCCCAGCCTGTCAGGGAAGGGGCAGGGCCTGGCAAACCTCCTGCATCCATGGGCATCTGCTGGAGCTCCCAGCTGCTTCCTCCTGCCTGGAGGGGGGACTCGAGCATTGCAAAGGAGGGAATGTGGTGGGAATAAGTTCTGGCAATGTGTCCGTGCTGCTCCTGTGGGCCAGAGCTGCTCTGGGCTCCTCTGGGAGGGTAGGACCAGGACAGGAGCAGCTCTGCTCAAACCCCACCACCTCCGCTGCTTCCCTATCTCCTGGGCTTCCCGGGATCCACAGGGGGATGATGCTTTGGCACCCCACTGGAAAGTAAACCCCAAGATTTTTGCCTTTGGCCAGCAGAATGGTTCCTGAGCTCCTGCCGGGCTGGAAATGCAGCTTTCCCTCCAGAACGCAGGGGCAGGCTGGGCTGGATGCTGAACCTGGCCTGGGGGAGGCTGGGCTCTGCCCTGGTGAGTTGCTGCTCTCAAATCCTTCACTCCCGAGCAGTTTTGAGGCTCCATCCTTGGCTCTGCCCGTGGCAGGGGGAACCAGGGTTTGTGCAGCTGGAGGAGGAGGGGATGGGAGCTGCTGTTCTGCGTTGGTGATGAGGGTGGGAGGAGGAGCAGCCCCTCGCTGTGCAGAGCTTTACACGGTGGCTGTGGATGTCTGGGAGCTCTCAGGGTGCTGCTGAGATCCCAGAGGTGGGTGTGGGTGTCCCAGGGGTTCCCTGTGTGGTGGGGTCCTGGGTGAGGCTGCCAGGTCCCGCTGGTGCTCTGGCAGTGGGAGAAGCAGCAGCGCTGCCCACACAGCGGTGCCTGGCAAGAGCCAGGGGTGCCACCCCCACTCGGGTCACAGCAGGGCTGTCCCTTCCAGCAGCTCCAGTGTGGCACAGCCAGACACCCATTCCAGCCAGGCCATCCCAGGTGGGCACTGCCCAGCGCGGCTTCCTGCAGCCTCTTGCCCTCCAGCCAGGCCCTGTGGCCATTGTGGCCAGCAGCCCCTCTGCCCTGGCTGGTCACCCCCTCACTGGGCACAGCAGAGCACTGGGTGGTCGAGCTTCCAGAGCTGCCACTTCTTCTTCATCTCGGACTTCACCTGCCATGGAGGGGAGGGAGCAGGGGCTTATCCGTGGCTGTGCCCTCCCTGCAGGCACAGGGTGGGGTGGGGAAGCCGGGCAGGAGGTGCCATGGCAGGGACAAGGACAGGGCAGGGACGTTACCTCCTTGTTGGCAAAGCAGTACAGCACAGCCACCAGGAAGCCCTGCAGGGAGAGCAGCAGTGAGCCCACCCCCATCCCTCTCCTAGGGCTGGGATGGGCTTAGGCTCCCCCCAGGCTGCTCCTGGGTGCCTTTAGGGCTGGGGTCCCCATGGCACCGCTGCTCAGGGCACAGGAGGCGGCAGAAAGGGTGGCAGAGACAGTGCCACCCTTCCCATGGAAGCAACACAGGGAGAGCAAGCTCAGAGAGGGACCCCCTGATCTCTGCTCCGTGCTGTGCTCAGAGCAAGGATTTCACTCCCACCTCACCTGGAAGGAGTTGAGGAAGAGGGTGAAGAACACCTTGACATAGCGCAGGATGCCCGTGGTTTGCTCATCCGTGGCGAAGATGAAAACAACCTCATGGATCCCAAAGAGGGGGATGAGGGTCAGAGTGGCTTTGGCCAGCCTGGGGGACAGTAAGGGGACAGTAAAACTCCCAGTTAATCCCAGGGCGGCCGTTTAAGCATGTGCAAGGTAGAGGAGAGGTGTGGGGAGGGGTAGGGGGTGTGGAGGTGGTGTTATCCCGTTAGCCCAGACCTGCCCTGCTCCTGGCCCACCTCAGCTTGTAGTCGGCGTAGCCCTTCTGGTTGGCCCGGAGCTTGGCCAGGATCACCTTGAGGATCCGCATGAAGATGAGCAGGTTGATCTGGGAGGGGGAGACAGGGCAGGGGCACACAGAGCCCAGCACCCCCACCCTGGCTGTGACACTCACCCAGCAGGAGATGGCACCCCCTGTGCTGCCCTTCCTCCCCTCTGCCATCCCAAAATCCCGGCTACAAAGCAGCAGGAGCCACCCCCAGCCCCTTTCTCTGGGGTTCAGCACCGATCTTCCTTCATGAACCCCCAGAACCAGGGGTCAGCAAACTGCTGAACCCCCCGTGCATTTGGCTGGTCCTTGCAGGCCAACTCTCCCCCCGGCCTCTGCTGGGAGCTCCCCTGGGGATCTCAGCCTGCCCAGGGCTGGGAGCCAGGGGCTGAGCTGCTGCTGTCCAGCCAGCCCTGGGGCTGGTGGCTGTTCCCTACCAGGGAGGCGAGCAGGATGGGGATGCGGATGATCCACCAGTAAGCCATGTTCTCGTTCAGCGCCCAGCACCTGCGCGGAGGCACGAGACAGCACCGTCACCCTGGGCTGGGGGCAGCAGGATCCAGGGGCTTTCCAGCCCCAGCCAGGTGGCTCAGGGACCCTCAGCAGCCTCTGAGCATCCCAGCAGGACCCCCCTTCATCCATCCATCTATCCATCCATCCATCCATCCATCCATCCATCCATCCATCCATCCATCCATCCATCCATCCATCATCCATCCCTCATCCATCCATCCCTCATCCATCCATCCCTCATCCATCCATCCATCCATCCATCCATCCCTCCATCCATCCATCCATCCATCCATCCATCCATCCATCCATCCATCATCCCTCATCCATCCATCCATCCATCCATCATCCATTCATCCATCCATCCATCCATCCATCCATCCATCCATCCATCCATCCATCCATCATCCATCCATCCATCCATCCATCCATCCCTCCCTCCATCCATCCATCATCCATCCATCCCTCCCTCCATCCATCCATCATCCATCCATCCCTCATCCATCCATCCATCCCTCCCTCCATCCATCCCCACTCACTCCGCGTTCTCCTTCAGGTACTTGGCGGCCATCCAGGGCACCACGAACACCACGGGGGTCCCTGCAAGTCACACAGCAAACCCTGTAAAACCAAGCACCCTCCTGAGCTGAGAACCCACCCCCGTGCTGGGGGGACACCCGGGGTGGCAGAGCCCCCACCCCTCACCCTCCAGGGATGGTGGGACCGCGGTGCCCCCGGCACCGGGCACCGTCCCCGTCCCCGCGGCGCGCCCGGCTGGCTCCTACCCCAGCCCAGGTAGAGGTAGAGCCTGTAGTAATTCTTCTCGGAGAACACGGCCCCGATGAGCAGCTTGTAGAGGTAGACAGCTTCCACCAGGAACCAGTAGTGGTTGGCCAGGATGCAGTACTGCATCAGCACCTGCGCCGCGCGGCACCCCAGCGCTGCCTGCCACGGGAGAGCCGCCGTGGGGCTGGCTGTGCCCACAGGGCACCCCACAGCTCACACCACAGCGCCCCAGGAGCTCATGCACCGGGGCTATGGTGCTGCACAGGCACCCCAAGAACCCCGAGAGCTCCGCCATGGGACCACAGTGCCCTGAGAGCTCGCCCAGAGGCTGCACAAGGCACCCCCAGAGCTCACCCATCAAGGGCATGGGTGGCACTAAGGGCTCATCCCTCAGGTGCCACACAGGCCCAGAGCTCACCCTGCAGGTGCACAGGTATCCCAAGAGTTCACCCACCGGGTCATGGGCAGCACGGGCACCCCAAGACCTCATCCATCAGGTGCATGGGCAACACTGGCACCCCCAGAGCTCACCCAGCGGGTGTCTGGGGGTGCGTGGGCACCAACCCCCGCACAGCCCTGCCCTGGGCGAGGTCCCCACGCTGCCACCAGCCCGGTGCTTGCCTCGTGGCTGAGCAGAGCCTCCCAGTCAGCCACCTGCACCAGCTGCGCGCCCCAGCGCCGCTCCAGCAGCGCGTCCTTCACCATCACCGAGGTGGCCCGCAGCCCGAAGGAGGCGAACAGGTTGGCGTGGATGTAATTCCTGGTGCAGCGCAGGTTCCTGCGGGAGCGGGGTCAGGCAGGGCCGGCAGGGCGGGGAGGGAGCGGGGCTGGGGCTGTGTCCGTGTCCTACCTGCAGGCGGTGAGGACGAGCAGGGCGGAGATGAGGGTGAGCAGCGACAGCGAGTACCCCACGGTGTAGAGCACCTTGAAGCTCACCATGAGCCGGCGGGCGCCTTCCTGCAGGTGAGCAGAGCGCAGGGAGCCCAGCTGGGTGCGTGTCCACCCCCGGCCAGGCTGCCCTGGCCATCCCTGGGTCCCAGCCAGGTCCCACCTCCTCAGCAGTGACCTCCAGCTCGTCCTCGCACTGGGAGTAGTCCCTCCAGGGCTGGCTGCCGTTCACTGTCACCCACTGGCCGTCGGTGCCGCACCTGCGGCTCACCAGCCCGTGTTTCACTGCGGACACCAAGCACCGGCACAGTCCCCCAGGCTCCCCCAGGCCCCTCTCCCGGGATGATGGATCTGACCCTGCTCAGTGCCCCGGTCCAGGGCAGGCGTGGGCAGGGCACGGGCTGGCACTGCTCTGCTCTGAGCTCCAGGCTCCCCTTACCCCTGGTGTGCTCACGGCTCCCTCTGCCCCTGTCAGGGGCACCCCTGAGAGCCTCTCCACCCCCAGAACGGCTCAGCCCTGGCTTCCAGCTCCGGGATGGCAGGAGGGCATCCTCACCTTTCTCAAACCAGGGCAGGTAGAAGGGGCAGGAGACATTGACGGCGGTGCCGGGGCTCCCGTCAGGCCAGCAGGCGTACATGTCAAATGTCCTGTTACAGAACAGCCCTTCCAGGGGCAGGGACAGGGAAAGCCAGTGCTCAGATGCTGGTGGCACAGACACATTTAAACCCTGCTATCCCAGCACCTCCGAAGGGGCTGATGCCACCCTGAAATGGGCCCATGTGCCCCACACCAGCCTCAGCCCCCCGGGACATCCCAGCCCTGGGTATCCCATCTGAGATGTGGAGGTCCTTGTCAGCCTTGTCAGCCCTTGGCTCACCCTCCGTGGGTGACCAGAGCAGAGGATGCTGGAGAGGGATAAACCCCAGCCCTGGGCACAGCCGGTACCTGCTGGGTAGGGCTCGCTCGCCATCCTCCTCAGGCACTCGTCACGGTACCGCAGCCACTCCTCGAAGGTCTTCTCCAGCACCTTGGCCCCGCCGTGCTGCAAGCCCAGGGCTGGGTCAGAGCCTCCAGCCTCAGCGCCTTGACCGCCCCTCGAGCTGCAGCCACAGCCTGGGGCTGGGCAGAGCCCGGCAGTGCCAACCCCGCTGCCCCCGGCCCCAGCCCGGCCCTCACCGGCACGGAGGAGAGCAGGCACAGCCAGGCAAGCTGGACAAGGCTCCGCAGGGATCCAGCGCCAAGCGTGTCCCTCATGGCCGCTCCCAGCCTGCCCAGTGCTCCCAGTGCCGGGCTGCGTCTCAAACTGGGCCGGGGACCCCGATCCTGGGGAGAGGTGGAGGGATGGGCACGGCTCTTCCCCGATGGAGCCAAAGCCTCGGGGAGCACCAGGCAGAGCAGCCAGGGTGTAAATGGATCTCAAGTCTTGGATGAGCCTGCTCAGCTTCCACCCACCGCTGCCAGCCCCGAGGGGAGCAAACGCCACCGTGCCAGCCCCAGTAGTGCCACCGCTGCCACCCAGCCTGGCACCCCTGGGTGAGCCGGGGGCAGCGAGATGTCTCTGGGGTGCCCTGGGCCCCCAGCCCCAGCCAGGCTGGGACCCCCGTACCCGCTGTGCCCCATCACGTCCCGCCCCGGTCCTGCTGCCGAGACCCCTCCCAGCCCGGCCACCCCCGGGACTCCCCGCTCCTCCCGGGGCACCCCAGCCCGGCCCCCTCCTCCAGCACGGACCTCCCGGTTCGTCCCCCACGAGGGTCCCCAGCCGGTGCCGCTCGGTGCCTGCGGGGTCCCGGGGCTCCGCCGCTTCCTCCGCCCGCTTACCCGGCTCCGCGGGACCGGCAGTCCTGATGTCCCGCTGTTCCCGGTGTTCCCGTTGTTCCCGATGTTCCCGCTGTTCCCGGTGATCCCGCTGTTCCCGGTGTCGCGGGCAGCCCCCGTTGTTCCCGGTGTTCCCGGTGATCCCGCTGTTCCCGGTGTCGCGGGCAGCCCCCGTTGTTCCCGGTGCTCCCGCTGTTCCCGGTGTCGCGGCAGCCCCCGTTGTTCCCGGTGTTCCCGGTGTTCCCGCTGTTCCCGGTGTTTATGGCAGCCCCCGTTGTTCCCGTTTTTCCCGGTGTTCCCGGTGCTCCCGCTGTTCCCGGTGTCGCGGCAGCCCCGGCTCCGCGAGGTGAAGGCGGCGGTGACCGAGCGGTGTCTGCGGCGGAGCCGCCTCCTGCCAGCGCCGTGCCCCGACGGGAGGGGGCTTTGGGGGGCTTCGGGGGGAGTTCGGGGGCGGCACCGCCTCCCGGGGCTCCGGACGCCCGGTGGGACTCGGGGGTCCCGGCGCCGCTGCCCCCACCCCGCGGAGCTCCAACACGGACCCGCGGAGCTCCAACACGGACCCACAGGGACGGGGGTCCAGCCCTGCCCTGCCCTGCCGGGGGTCCCTGACAGTCCCACGGGGATGGGGATCCAGGTCCAGCCCCGTCGGGAGTCCCCGGTGGAATCACACAGGGACAGGGACGGGGCTCCGCTGAGGGTCCCCAGGTGCATCACATGGGGACAGGGATGGGGGTCCAGCCCTCAAACTGTGGGTCACAGGGACCGGATCAAGGATCCAGACCCTTCAGTCTCCCCCAGAGCCCCTGTCCCTCCATCACACCACCCCAGGGAAAGTCCTAAACCTCCGAGCTCGGTGTCCCCCTGGCTGTCCCCTGGGCTGGGCGCTGCCCGGTGCTGGCGTGGTGACAGCCCCTGTGCAGGCACGGTGGGCTATGGGGGCCACCCTCCCCTTGGGGACAGTACCGTGACACCCATGGGTCCCACCATCCAGCCAGGGGAGCTCCAAGGGCAGGGACAAGCCATGGGACAAGCCTGGTGGCCCTGGTCCTGCTGTCCCCCAGCACACGTGCTGGCAGTGGGACAGAGGGGTCTGTGCTGGGGCAGGGCTGGGGAAGGTGTTTTTGTCATGAGTGGAGTGGGGGAGATCCCCGCGGTCCCCAAATCACCAGCGGTGCAGCTGTGCCTCCCTCCTGCTGCAATGCTGCTGCAATGCTGCCCTGCAGCGGGGGGTTCATCCCCAAACCCGGCTGAACGCACCAGAAAACACATTTGTTTTGCAAAAATCCGCTGTTTGCCTCGAAGCTGCAGCAGCGGGCTGGGAGCAGACACGGGAGGCAGAGGGATGAGGAGGCACAGCTGCAGCTCCAGTGATGCGAGCGGGGTTTGGTTATTCCCAGTGACAAATAACACAGCGGTGGAGCAGCCCAGGTAAGGATTTGCTGTTTGGGGATCAAATGAGCCCTCAGGTGCCTCCCCCAGCATGAGCCAACAGGGGGTGTTTGCTCATTAACAGATGATGAACTTTGGACAAGAGCCTGGAGGGACAGGACACAGGGAATGGCTCCCACTGCCAGAGGGCAGGGCTGGATGGGATATTGGGAAGGAATTGTTCCCTGTGAGGGTGGGCAGGCCCTGGCACAGGGTGCCCAGAGCAGCTGTGGCTGCCCCTGGATCCCTGGCAGTGCCCAAGGCCAGGCTGGATGGGGCTTGGAGCAGCCTGGGACAGTGGAAGGTGTCCCTGGACTTTGCAAAGCTCCAGGGCAGACATCAGGGTGAGCTGCTGCCTCCTGAGAGAGTGCCTCATTGAGCCCTGCTTTGGAAATCAGCCTTGCTGCCTAACCAGCTCTGAAAATGTGGCTGTCCCACCCTGGAAGTGTCCAAGGCCAGGCTGGATGAGGCTTGGAGCAGCCTGGCACAGTGGAAGATGTCCCTGCTGACCTCCTCCAGGTGAAAACACTGCTAATTGTCATGTAGCTTAATCATCATTAATTTGGGCAGGGTCAGGGCTAACCCCAGGTGCCATCACTGAAGGACATCCTCATCAGAGCCTCCCAGCAGTGGCTCAGGGTGGTGGCAGTGCTTTGCCACTTCAGGGGGGTCCCCAGAACTCCGGGGGGAAGCTGGAGGATCACTTTGGTATTTGCCAGAGCACATTTGCAGTCACTCTGAGTAAGTGGCTCTGCCCCAGGGTGAGGGCTGAGCCCTGCTGGTCCCAGCCCAGCGCCATCCCCACCCTCCCTGTGGGGACAGGAGAGGGGGTGAGCAGCCCCTGTGCTCCTGGGGTGCCCCTCAGCTGGGCAGACCTGTTTTCCACACCTTTAATATCCTGTTCTGTAAACCCAAGGCATTAAGAAGTTGCTCTGGTTTCTGGGTTTTTCCCAGCTGTCCCAATGCTGGATGTTTGCCACCTTCTGGGACTGTGGTGGATGAAAATGTGTTTTCAGCCTGGGCTGTACCTGGCACTGCTCTGTTGTGCTCAGCAAAGCATTCGAGTCACTCACTCCGACCTGCCAGGTGAGAGATGTGCTCTGCATTTCCCTCTTGCCAGAAGGTCTGAGAGGGCTCCAGAAAAACTCCCCCCAAATTTGCCAATGCCTCAGGACACAAAACCTGGCTTAGAGCTGGGAAGGGGAGCCCTGAGGCTGGAGGTTGTGTGCAGGATGCTCCAGGTGGGACTGCTGGATGCTGGAAGCCCAGCTACCACAGGAGATGTCAGGATGTGATTTGGGAATCACTGCCAGCCCCCAGGACGGTGCTGGATCACACCATGCTCCGTGGGAAAGCTCCCTCCCCCTCCCCTTGGGCAAAATGAAGTGAAAACAACACAACTTGCCCAATTCTTAGCAGTTCTTTGCAGCTGTTCCTGCTGGAGCTTCCCAATCCTGCTGGAGCAGCTGGGGCTGAGCTGGGCAGCCCCCTGGGGTTGGAGCAGCTCCTTCTGCTCTTCTCCTGGAGCTTGCAGGGACCTGCTCCTCTGCTCAAACACAGCCCACGGGGGCCCAAATCACAGAATCATGGGATGCTTTGGGTGGGAAAGGAGCTTAAAGCTCATCCAGTGCCACCACTGCCATGGGTAGGGACACCTTCCACTGTCCCAGGCTGCTCCAAGCCCCATCCCAGCCTTCCAGGGGCAGCCACAGCTTCTCTGGGCACCCTGTGCCAGGGCCTGCCCACCTTGGGCTCTTCTGGCATCAGATTTCTTCACATTTACAATATCCTCACAAAAATGTGGGGGTTTGGGTTGTATCTAAATGTGTCAATAGACACCACGAGGTGGGCTGAAAAACCTGATGGATTTTTGTGTCTGCCAGGGCTGGTTGTGTGTGATTTTCCTTCTGATGGGAAAAGGGCCCATTAATCAGTATAAATCCCAAGCTGTGTTGTTCCTGGTAATTGCTCCTTCCACACCCACTGCTGTTCCTGCTGCTGCAGGGAAGCTCCAGGAGCAGCAGGATGGACCACACACCTCCTGCCCCAGCAGCTTCTGTCCTCCCCACACAACTCAGATGGTTTCAGCTTCATTTTGGGCTCCTTCTGCTGGGCACAGCCAGCTCCAGGCACAACTTGTTCAGAGGGCACCACGTATGGATGGGCTGTTATCAAACACATTTACTGATGAGCTTCAGCAGACATCACCCCAGCCCCTGCTCTGCAGCCTCCCCATCCTGGGACCAGCCCAAATAGGCTTTGGATGAGCTTTTGAGGACTGTTCCCTTCTCTCTTAGTTAATGAAACTTCAGGCTGGGTCCTGGGTTTGCTGGCAGTGTGATTTATTTTCTGGAGGTCAAGTCAAGAGAGATTTCTGGCTGAACATGTCAGCTCTGCTCATAAAGATGCCCAGACAACCTCATCAGGGGTATTTTTCTGATGTGACCACACATTTTCCGACAGTTTAACAACTGATGAAGGCACCCAGCCTGCAGAGAAAATCCATCTCCTGCCCAGGGAGCCCAAGATCCTCATCACCTAACTGAGGGGGGATCATAATTCCTCAATCCCACAAGAACTGCAGTGCCACAGCGCTGGCATGGGGGTTGTAAGGTCTTCCTGCACCAGGCAGAGGCAGATGACAAAGCTGAGGCACAGGGAGCTGTCACCCTGTTCTTTTGAGAGTTTTAAAGTTCTTCTATAAGTTTTTTATGCCTTCTGACATCTACATATTTCTACTAGAACTTTCTCACACTGTTCACGTAAATAATAATTGTTTTGCTTTCTTCTTTGTAAGTGGAGAGAATTGATGGACTGTTGGTTTAATCAGTGTAGTTGGAGAGGTGCCAATTTCACCCTCCAATCCAGTGTCACTTTTAAAATTATATATATAGTGGAGTCATAAAATAAAATTGCTCTTTTAGTTCTTTTCTTTCCTCTTTTGCATCTAGCATCCCTGTGTGAGTTATTTCCTGTCGCAGTGTGACAGGGAGCTGCTGGCAGTGAGGCTGGATTCATGCCCAAGGAGTTGCTTCCCCAGGGCTCCATTTCACAGGAGTTTTGGACACAAACCAGCTCCTCTCACCTTTGAACTGAGCAACACTTAATTCTGCTGCTGAGCTCACAGGTTTCTGCCAGCACGGGAACATAAAATTCCCAGACTGGCCCAGCCCAAGGTCTGTTTATCCAAGACTCCAACTGCCCCTGAGAGCCCCCTCGGAAAGGGGGGAAAAACAGGCAAAGGCAGCACCTCACAGGGAAGGAGTATTTGGGATAATCCTGGAAGAGATCTCATTTCCACCCATTTGTGTCCCTAGTTTTGATGGCAGTGCCCAAATGCTGACTACACTAAATTATTGTGGATATAAAACACTTAACTTTGGGGAGAAATCCTCTGGAATTCTACTCAAACTTAGACATTTTAATGCAGTGGGTGTTGCCCTTGGGGACATGGGTTAGTGGTGGCCTTGGCAGTGCTGGGGAATGGTTTGATCCTGGGGGGCTTTTCCAACTTTAATGATTCTGTGGCTGCAACCAGTTAAATAAGGAGGCTGAGCCAAGTTTGGAGCCTGGGGAAGAAGAGGCCCAGGAAGGTTCATTTCACCCTTTTGCTGAGCAGGGTTGTGTTTCCTCATGCAGCATTTTTCTGGGTGATCCTTATCAAAAAGGGTAAAATTGGGTGACTGTGACAGTGGCCTCCCAAACCTGTCCCTCTTTGTCCTTGTCACCCTGGCTGGTTGCTCTCGGTGCCTTTCCCTCCAGGTAGTCCAAAAGCCAAAATGTTGGTGGAAAACTCACCAAAGCACCTCGTGATCATTATGGGTCTCTTCCAAGTCAGGATATTTGATGAGAAAACAAGGATTTTTGGATCCCCTGTGCCTTGTGGTGAGGATGAGCTGCACTTGCAGCTCCCAGGCTCACTGGGAGGGCTGGGCTGGCTTTAAATCAAGCTGTGCTGTTGCATCTGAAATTGGACCCCCAGGAATTAGGCAGACTTTGAGAAATCAGCACTTAGTGCTGGCTTTGAGTGGGTCAAATGGCATTTGGCTTTGGAGGGAGCTAATGGAGGGTGAGTGTATAATT